AGTAAACTTTAATAAACATATACAATATTCTAAAAGATAAATCACATTTTTGTGATTATACAAAAATTTTATTTTTCCAATATAATATGGATTGCCCTCTAAAATATATATAGTGGCTCGCAAACAGTTTGGTTTTTATATGGAAAACTTTTTCATGTTACTTTTTTCAGAAAATGTGATTCCTGATAAAACTTGATGTTTAATTAAACCTAAAACTATATTTATTTAAAAAATTCTGTACCATAAATATAAATTTGGCTGCGCAGTGAACTAGGTACTCTTCTAGAAACAGAACCCACATTTTTACATATAAAATTAATTTAAAAAATGTGTGTAATCCCATATAGTAGTTTTTAGTTAATACAATTAATATAGTTTATTATATCCTTTTTTAACCGACTTCAAAAAAGAAGAAGGTTATCAATTCGTCGTAATATTTTTTTTTATGTATGTTCAGCGATAATTCTTTAACACGGTGTCCGATTTCAAGGATTCTTTTTTTGCTGGAAAAGGGGTACTTCAGGGGGTGGTCCCATATTTGGTCAAAATCTAATAATTAGGTCCATGAGAAAATCCTCAAACTCTTTATTTTTATGTATGTTTAGCGATAATTCTTTACCACCTTGTTCACAAAAAAGCCATGTCACATACAGTGTAATAATAAAACTTAGATATATAAATATATAATATATTATATAATATATATAATATATTATGTACCAACGGACTAAACTTTCACTTTTAATCCCGCCTTTTTGTCGTAAAGGTCTTTTTAAAATGTTTTACCAGTAACGTCCGTACCGGGTTTGAACTGAATATTTTTGAGGAAAAATAAGGTACGCCACTAAACCAAAATTATCTTTAAAATCCTTATTTATTTTGGAGCAAATTTGGTTTATAGATGTACTTTCGTACGACGCAACCTTTTCGTGTAAGAAAATAAAAACCAAAAATTTTTTTTTTAGTTTATTGAAACTGCTTTTGATATTTTGTTGTATCGGCACTAAATTAATACCCTGTATTAATTGATATTACCTTATTCGAAACAATCATCTATTTTTTTCGTTATTTGTATATTGGTTTTATTTTGCCTATCTTTCACACCTCTATGCTTCTGTAATTAAATGTAATTTAATCTAACTAAAGCTATTCACTAAATTAAAATCTAAAAATGATGTATAACCGTATAATAAATCGAACTGCGTTATAACAATTTATTCGATGAATAAAAGGAAGCAAATGCTTATACTTTAGTAGCGTTCTGTTTTGTTTTTTTAATTCTGCATAAGTCCATTTCAACAATTTTAAGTAAACGCATTTGCTTTTCGTGTATTCATTTGACCTAATATCTCACAATGCAGCAAGAAAAACAAATAAGATTCTGGTTTCCCTAATTTAGGTAACACTGACTCACTCAATAACTGATGAACGTATGCAGCCGTGGTAGGATTTTTCGGTTCCTTTGTCTCAACTTCGCGAAGTTGAGTTTAGAATACTTATCCCTCGTATCTATATGCAATTGTTAAAATTATGAATGAATGCGGATTTTGTTTAGTCTCGGAAATAAGTTTGTAGTATTTATGCTCCACCCTCAAGTTGTAATTTTTATACCTACTAAACTACCGTTGCCCCGCAGGTCTTTCAGTTTGTAATGTAAATGTTCCTCTTAAGTGTATATAAATAATCACTTAGAATAAAACAATATTTTGCGTTCATATTATTTTTAGTATTTGGCAACTATAATTTCTCACATTAAATTATGGATTATTTAAGACTGAATTTGCACGCCATAATTTTCACAACAAGAGCTATTAACTAAGTTTTCAATAGATGGCGATTAGAGGCACTTCTGCGTAATAATCCAAATGATCAATAATTATCCTTGGAAAATACTTGCTTAGTTGCCAAATTAAAAAATTAAATATGAACTATAAACTGTGATTAGTGAATTTCAGAAGTGTAAAATAATAATTAAGAATTACGTTAAGAGCAGTATTTACTTGGCTTTAGAGCATGCAACAGGATTGTTGTGATTAATTAGAATTTTTTAAGTTTATTTTATCAATTTTGTATGTTATTTTAATTATTATTTATTGCATTATTCAAGAACGTTCTGCTTTCAGAAAAGATCCATCGATAAATAATTTTGAAGATGTGACACTAAAAGTTTTTGCCTTTGCAACTATTTTGTTAAAATTTAAAAGCGCGGTATATTTGATTTTACGTCGATTTATCGACAACTCTCGTTTAAATTTCTATGATTTTAATGCGTCATTGTCGAATAAACTTACGTCTACTAGTTAACAAATACGCCGTGCGAACAATCTCAGCATTGAATTTTGTTTTATACATTCACAGACCAATGTAACATTCGTTTTCCAACTTTCTTCATATTTTTTTTTAACAATTACCTAACTATTATCATGTTATAATTGCATTGTATGTCGTTTTTAAAACGACCTTTGATAACCTCTTCATCGAAAGAATCTTGTACGACAGTTTAGAATACATAAAGGACATTTTACAGTGTGCAATTCATATTTAAACGGCTGTACATTAACAGATATGCATTGTTCAAATATACATATAAGAGGGCACGAAGGCCAGAATCTATATGACGAACTAACTCAGTAAATAAACAGATATGCATTGTTGAAATATATAACATGACAATGAAGGTCAAACTGATTATAATGAACTAACACAGTAATGCATTGTTGAAATTTATAACAGGACAATGAAGGTCAGACTGTATATAATGAACTAAACCAGTAAATTAACAGATATGCATTGTTCAAATATATAACAGGACAATGAAGGTCAGACTGTATATAATGAACTAACTCAGTAAATAAACAGATATGCATTGTTGAAATATATAACAGGACAATGAAGGTCAGACCGTATATAATAAACTAACTCAGTAAATAAATAGATCTGCATTGTTCAAATATATAACAGGACCATTAAGGTCAGACTGTATATAATGAACTGAACCAGTAAATAAACAGATAAGCATTGTTCAAATATATAACGGGACAATGAAGGTCAGACTGTATATAAACAGATATGAAACAGATATGCATTGTTCAAATATATAACAGGACCATAAAGGTCAGGACTGTATATAATGAACTAAACCAGTAAATAAACAGATATGCATTGTTCAAGAATATCACAGGACCATAAAGGTCAGACTGTATATAATGAACTAAACCAGTAAATAAACAGATATATGTATTGTTCAAATATATAATAGGACAATGAAGGTCGGACAGTATATAAACATATGAAACGGATATTAAACAGATGTGCACTGTTCAAATATATAACAGGACAATAAAGATCAGACTATAATAATGAACTAAACCAGTAAATAAACAGATATGCATTGTTCAAAATTTATAACAGGACAATAAATATCAAACAGTATAAAATGAACTAGCCCAGTAAATAAACAGATATGAATTGTTCAAATATATCACAGGACATTGAAGGTCAGACTGTATATAATGAACTAACTCAAAGTGTACATTCACACCACCAAAAAGCGTAATGAAGTATGGGTGATGTGATGGGACAGGAAATTGTTTTGTTTTCTTTAAAAATAGTGTACGCTTGCATAAAATGAAGCAACTACATGTGTGTTCTATCAGGACCGGACCAGGAAGTATAATTAAATGTATTGCCACAAGAAAAATCGCTGTCAATCAGCATAAAATCCTCTATCCTACAGTATTGGCGATTCAAGGTAAGCGATACATTAGGACATGTGCGTTTTCAGTGTATAAGTTTGTTCTGTGGTAATATTAAATTATAGATAGAAAGAAAACAAAATAAATATCAATCCCCGTATTTAGTATACAGTAGAACAAACCGAGTGATGATTTTCTGACGCAAGTTTTTTCGTATTCCAGAAAGAATGTATGATTTCAAAAACCAATGGCGTAGTCAGCTGAGATTGTTTAATGCAGTGTGTGGTTGCGGAGATTTTTCTATTGTTGTCTATTTGGAGAAAACCCTGGGAAGGTAGAAAATTAAGATAATCTTGTAACGATAATATTGTTACATTCAGATTGAAAATTATGAAAAAACAACTCGTAATATCTATTATATTGTTTTGCTTGTTGCAATTCCAGAGAGAGAAGTATCAATTGTCTACAGAAAGATTAAAAAGTGATCATTTAAAATAAAATAGGTAATTCTATGAGTACGAAATGAAGAGATACTTGGAAAAGTAAAAAAAAATCGTTCCGAACCTATGGCCTCAAGGTTGCCGTCCAGGATTTGATTAATTGGTAAAGATTCAAAATTAGTCAGTAGATTAATCTACATTAGTAATATGTAAATTACTGTAGAAAAAATAAACGAATAGTTAAAAAAAAATAACGATAAAGGAATAATATTAAACGTATTATTCTTTGTATTTGAAAGGAAGATAAAATATGCGTCATATTCCTTCTTAATTGCAATAAAAAAAGGAATAAAGGCTATTTCGCGTAAAACGGAAAGAGATTGTGTATTTCCTAACTGTTAAAAATGATTAACACGGTCAAGATAAAAATTCTATTTAAAGAATAGATGCAACTAATATGGAAACGGCTTTTGACTTCAGCAGTTGATTTAATACTACGCGATAAACGTGATATATGAAACAAAATCGCCAATGATTCATATTATAGTCCGGTAGAATTTGTATCAACAATACAAGAATAATTATAATCCCATCAACATTATAAATTTTTAAATAGTAAATATTATTTTTAAAGAACATAGTAAAAATTAATCTAACACTAAAGTAGCTCTAGATATGCCAAATTTTAATTTAAATCCATATATTTTCAAAGAGGCGTTCCGACTAATGGGAAAAAAATGAAATTAAAGACATCGAAATCAGCCTTTAAAAATATAATCTTTTAATAAAAATATTTGAAATTTTTTGTACTTTTCGCCCATCCAACGTATAAATAAAACAATAAAGGAATAAAAAACTACCTTACCTAATTTCACTTCGGCGTTATCCGTCAACAAAACGTTTTGACCTTTGATGTCCCTGTGTATGACCTTATTCGAATGTAAATACGACAGTCCCCTGAGAATTTCCCTGCAGATATACGCTATCCACTCCTCTTTTAATGACTGCCCTTTGGTGGACTTCACCAGATCCGTCACCGATCCTGAAAATAAAATATTTATTATGGGATTGGCGGTTTCGACATCTGGCATAGCGATCCAGGTGGAACTGCTCGTGTTCCACAGCGAAGTTTATAAGTTTTTGTAGAAGCTTAAATAGAAAAAAATTAGGTGAAAGGACAATTTTTATCATCTATGTTTAAAACTGTGACAAAGTCTCTTTTATTATAAATTTTAATATTAGTATGGGAGGCATGTTTAATTAAAAAAGAAAATAGGCAGAAGGTACAAATTTGGTTTTACAGTTCATCAAATTTCTAGAGGCTTTCGACGGCTAGACAGAGAAAGCACTACTGACAGGCATCCCGACGGATTTACGCAATGAAAGTACACTCTGCGCATCAAGTATTTCACTATTTCATTCAGACGTAAATGTCAGATGTAAATTTCGCTAAAACATTTCTTTTATTTTCGTTTGTGTTTTTTGCTCATTACAGTTTAATAGAACCTAAGTATGGAGTTTAATAGCAAATTAAGAGGCCGCGTGATTAACAGTCAATCTCGCGAAATAATAGCCAATGTTATAGAGTTTATGAGAAGAGAAGGAAACTTTAATTCACCTTCAATACCATTTAAAAATGTAAATGATCGTGTTGCTGCAGCCACAGGAGTATCTAAAAACACTGTCGTCCGCATTTCTGGAGAGAAAAAAAGAATCGATAACCGTGAGATATCGGAATTTTCATCACCAAGAAAAACCATTAAAAAACCAAAAACAGTTAATGATATAGATGAAGCTGCACAAGAATCAAATTTTATTTTTTTATTATTAGATAGCTATTTTTGTTTCTGAGTTGTGTTCATTTACAGGCTCAATTTTTTTTCCGTTTCTCCTTTTTGATTTTATATGGGGTTTCAAGTTGTTTTTGACTTATTTCGACGTAAATCACAACAACACACTTTTTTAATAAAGCAAACAAGTGTTAAGAGGTATATGTACGTGTAAACTACAATTACAAAAAATTGATATGAAACCCATGAAACCACCAACAAAAATGTAAAGCTAGCTTCCGTACTAGAACATGGTGTCATTCGTCGAGATAATTTATCGTTTTGTTTAATAGATCAAGAAATGTAAATATTCCCCTGTTAGTTTTTATAAAATTATAAGAGAAATAAATTTTTTTCTAAATAGTATAGTTTATTATTTTGTAGAAAAACAAAATTTCGAAAATTTTAGTAATGTTTCAGAAACAACCGTTATTAATAATAGGTACCATTTTCCTTAATAAGGTAGAAATAAAATATAAACTATTTCCACGATTTACAAAGGCCTACAAAAAAATTATAGGTATTCCAAAACACCTTTTATGGCATAATTATTTTCAATTCTACATACTATCTTTAGCTGCTTTTAAAAACGTTCTAAGAAAGTCCAATCAGACCAATTTAATCCCTAAACTATTCCACACTTTTAAAATTTAATTACCTAAAAATATTAAAAACTATTTAAAATAACTTGTTTAGCAGACTGTACAATAGCTATCTTAGTCACACGTAGCGCGTTCTCTGTCTGGGCGTCGAACACCTCTAGAAATTTGATGAACTGTAAATTAGAAAAAAACGTTCTTTGAAAATTGACTCTTTCTAATACGAAATATACCTCCACGCAGACTTTTGGTAGTAAAACTTGATTTTTTTTGTGAAGAGCACACTTCGTCATAATATGCAGAAACCAATTTGAGTTTGTAGGCGTGGTCAGACAGATTTAAACGTGATCGAAGCCGCCTGCCGCTCATCACCGCTCATACAAGTTGAATTCAGTAGCGTAGTGTTACTTATTTGTACTTGTTGCATTTATTTAGCTATTTTGAGTTTCTTGAGTTTTGTGCTTCGATTATTGAGTTTCCTGAGTTTTTGTGTTTCGATTTGTGTGTATATAAACTTTAATTTGTTATATTTTTCAAATTCCTAATTAATTTTGTGTATATTTTGGTGAGTACATTTACAAAACTATAAATATTAATCTCAGAAGAAACCGAACATCCTGAAATATTTTAAATACCTTTTAAAACCAGATTTTTTGAAAACCGTGCCAAGAGAAAATTTTGATTCAACAGTATTGTATATTTTGTGTTGTAAAAGAGGAAAAATTAACATTTCGTGTTTTAATAGTTATTTTTTTAATTTAATAATCTATGTGAAAAAAAATTTTTTTATTACAGACTTTAAAAAATTGTTATATTAATATACTTATTTAATTGTACTTATATTTGTTGTTCCTTTAATACAATAAATACTATTTACCTATCTCCAATTCATCACTTTCCGTATCCATATACCTAAGGTCCGATTACAATTAGAAAAACACCGCTACGTCATAACTATTATTTCAAATTTCCAATATACAGGGTGTCTCGAAATTAGACGGTCATATTTTAATAGCGTAATCTACATCCTACAAGTATTAGAAATTAAAAATTTAAAAAAACCGAATTCAAAAACGTGCAGATACCGTCACATCTTAACCAAATTTATATAGGATCACCCCTGAGGTACCCCTTACTACCAAAAAAAGAATCATATAAATCGGACAAGGTGGTAAAGCATTATCGCTAAACATACATAAAAAAATATTGCAACGAATTGAGAACCTCCCTCCTCCTTTTATGAAGTCGGTTAAAAATAGGAGTAAAAGTTTATATAAATATAGGTCCGAAAACGTTTCGTTTTCGAGATACAGGGTGCTACAAGTGAAGTCCAGATGAAATATTTTCTAAAATTTCTTTAGTTACCGGTTTTTCAAAGTTAAAAAAAAATAAAATTTCTAATTCTACAGACCTACTAATTATTGTTTACACTTTCGAATAAGGTAACATGCTTTTCTCTTGGAAATAGCGCGTCCTAGCGAGATGCAACAAATGTAGCTTTATTATACAGAAAATATTGGTTTTCCAAATTTTATAGTCAAAAAATCTGATGTGTCCAACACATGACTTTCCTATCTAGTTATTATAGGCTTTTTTTGGTTATTTTGTACAACTTATTGCAGTACCTCTATAAATGTTTAGAGGATAAACTAAATATATACATTTTCCACCTCGAAACATTTTTCTATAGTTATTCATTGAAAACGAAAATACTGAAAAATTTAAATTTAGCAATTTTCCTACAATTTTTCCATTACGGTCCATTTTAAAAAAATCATGTATAAACAAAAATTATAGAGATCGATATCGCAAACAACTTTTAGTTTAGTTTAGAATTTTCACATTTTGTCAAATTTCTCGAATACGGACCATTTCAGGAAATTTTGACATAAAGCAAAAATTATAGATAATAATATTAGAAGTAACTTTTATTTGAATAATTTTCTTCTCCAAACATAAATAACAGATATATTCAATAAAATATAAAAACGGCATCCCATAAAGTACCCCCCCCCCCCCCCCCAGATGTTCCGACTTTGTCCAAAATCTAATTATTTCACGTCAGGCCGAAATAAAACTTAAGTTTAAAATTTAGTGTTTTTCTGTGTATCGGTTCATGAGTTATGGTGGATATAGACACACACATACACACGGCAATTTTACCCTAAGCTCCCCCTAATTTACCCACCTAAGAAGATGATCAATAACTGGGGTTTAGTCCAATAAATGAAGCGTAAAAAGGTAAGTATTTGTAACAAATTTTACCTAATTATCTTTAAACGTTTAGAAAATATTTACAAAAGTGTGGTATCAGGACTTCACCTTTAACACCCTGTATCTCGGAAAAGAAAAGTTTTTGGACCTATGTTTATATGAACTTTTACTACTATTTTAGGATGTAGATTACGCTGTTAAAGTATGACCGTCTAATTTCGGGACACCCTGTATATCATCTATAACTATCAATAAATAAAAAATATTTGAGTTGTTTGGTTTAAAAATAGTATTCCTACATTCGTATATTAACAAGCCACTAACCCCCAGTAGGCGGCGATAGCCAACGAATTATACCCACAGACCATACCCTTATTATACCTGAATTGTAATCGGACCCTTCAGCGTACGACACACAACATTGCCAAATTTATGTAGCGAACAAGGTTCCAAATACCTTAAGGGGAGGTCTTAAGATTCGTGCGGTGTGACGTCAGAAGGGACTGGATTGCTCTTAACTTATTAATATGTTCGATTTAAAATATTTTATTAATGTACACACGCCACTGCTAAGGTATCAGGTACCCCTACCCGTAATACCGATCAAGGAGAAGCGACAGTAGCTGTCGGTGCCTTTGATATCGGATGGACCTTTTTCACAGCATGACTTTGATTACTACACAACTTAATACGCTGAGAAAACATGCTTATTTTCTACACTGAGCGAAATAGTTTGGCAAATTATCTGAAATCATTGTTATAGTCCATGCGCAAATGTTGTAATGTGATTTATTACATTGAAGTAGTTAATAGCAATTAATAATCATTGTATTTACTGTTCGTAGTCCTTTGGAAAAGTAAATAAACTTAATCCTTGACCGGTTTTGGACGAACAAGAACATTCTATTACAACACAAAGAAATACCAAAAAATATCACTTAACAGCTCACAGACTAAACACAAATTGGACTGACTTTGACAGATAACATAATTTTGAGTGAACTTATTTTCGCACATGCGCGTATCAAAACGGTACATTGAAAACACCAAGCTGTCGCTTCTCCTTGATCGGTATTCTCGGCCCCTACCGCAGCAGATTTCAACCCAGCGCCATCAACTAAAGCTCCACAAAGTTATGACGTACTGCGCGAACTGTGGCATAGCTATGCTATGACGAAATGTGCTCTTCACAAAAAAATCGAGCTCTACCTGTATGTAGATACTTGTAAGTAAAGGTTAAATTTGTATTCCTCTAAAGATATTTTTCCTAAATTTGATTCAGTTTTTGGAAAAAAAAAACATCGAATAGTTGCGATTTTTTTCCATGAAAACTAAATCAAATTCCGGAAAAATGGCTGCATAGGAACAAATATTTAACCATTTTACCTATACTTTTGATATTTTTTTCTTTCACGAAAAATAAAAAAAAAACTTTAAAAGTGTAGTACTAACAAAAATTTGCAGGGCTATAAATAATTCGCATTAATTAGATAAAGGCAATGGGGATGAAAATAATATACAGGTTTTTCCTTAATGATATACGAATCTACATGAAAAACCAATTATGCTCCAAAAATGCCCCGTTCCGAAAATACAAATATTATAAGAAAAAAAAAATAATATTTTCGAAATCGATCCAAATATTTTAGTCATATTTAGTACAAAGACAGTTAATAAAGAGGGCTCATTTTTTAATACAAAAATAATTTTCATTTTTAACAGTGGCGTGCGTACGAACACAGATTTCTTGAAAGACGGTTTTTCCTAAATAAAATTGTTCTTATTTGCTTGAAAATATAGAAAATGTCCTAAAACATATCGACAAACTTTAAGGCATAACAGCAGACAACAAAATACACTTTTTTTTTCAAAATTGTGAATTTAATATATAGTAAATCGCAAAATCTAAATCCGAAAAGTCAGAAATATTTGAAAATTATTCTACATTTTTTTTTTGTTTAATAAACATATGTCCGCAAATGAGCTGTTTGGGGTGTAAAGCAATAAAATATTTTAAATAATTCCAAATAACTAAATTAATTCTTCATTTAGTTGACCATCTATAACCGTCTTTCGTACAGGGTTATTCATTATAAATTACCCAACCCTTATCATCGTTATTATTGCCTATAGAAAAAAAGTTTTAAATAGAAGTTGTGTGGTTATGACTGAATTTTTTTAAAATGATATTAAAAATACAGTAGCGTGCAGATTTCAGGGGATACGAAAGAATATTTATTTTTATTGGTATAACCTGAATAGGTATTATGCAATTTTTCGAATGTTCCTCTCTTTATAATTTTAAAAATATATATGTTACCCCTACCGTATGTCGTTTTGAGGTATTATATCAAATTAAAAAAAAAATTTCGTATCCCCTAAAATCTGCACGCTACTGTATGTTTAATAGTTTTTAACAAAATTCGGTCCTAACGACACAACTTTTATTTATAACTTTTTTTCTATAGGCAATAATAACGATGATAAGGGGTGGGTAATTTATAATGAACAACCCTGTACATTTTTTTGTTAGGGAGCAAAAACATTGGAAACATTTTATTCTACCTGCTCCACAATATTCCATGACCAACCAAAGTTGGTCATCTTTTCCCGGAGGAGATTTTTTAATGAAAGCTCCGTAATAAGTCGCGATGTTTCGATGGTTGGAATACTTCTTCAGTACATTAATTTCCAGCTTTATTTCCTCTTCCTCGTCCTCTGTTACGTCCATCACTTTGATAGCTGCCAGTTGTCCGGTTTTTGTGTGCCTTCCCTGAAATACAAATAACATTTATTTAGAAATGTATCCAAGATATGTTCAAGATTATAAAAAAAAGGAGTGGTACAGAAAATCGGTTACAATCAGATACATTTACATCAAACGCTACTGGATCAAAATAAAAACAGATCTCGCTACTTGCTCTCAGAAACTAATAAATTTATTTCATGATCATGATTGTTCTCGAGATATTAGCCATTTCAAATAAAATAACTGTCAGTGGGAAGATATATAAGGGAGTTGCGACATACGAGGTATTCTATCTATCATGAATAATTGATTAAATTTAAATATTTTATGTCAAACACAATGAAAATATTATTTAAAAAAATCGTTTATACATTTTTCGTAAATTGGCAGACTTGGCGACTATCATTTGAAATAAAAATAGCGTCCAAGATACAAAACTATGTCGCAACCCCCTTAGATATGCGAACCCTTTCTACTGGCAGTTATTGTTTCAAGTCGTTAGAATGCCTAATTATGACTGAAGACTAGTTTTGAATTAATGAAGTACAACCATTTAGGCATTGTGGGCTTTGACAGGCTCAATATTTTAGTTATATAGATTGCTCGAAGCGGTTCACATTGCGAGCGGCCATATTGATTTGTAAGTGCTCATTAATCAAAATCGCTTTAGCAAAAATGTGTTTTAACCATATTTACAGCTTTTGAATATGTTAAAAAAAGAACCTACATTTTTATGTTTATTTTTAAAAACATGGATGAGCAATCTATAGAACTATCTATAATCATTGACCCTGTCAAATCCATTAGGTCCACAGGGTTGCCATATCAATGCCCACAGGCAACCATGTTGTTTGGAATGCCTAATACCAATATGGCTAGATGGAAGCTAAACTGGTCCAAGTTATATGTTTATTGTAATAGATATAATGACATGTTTACATGTATTAGTGCTAAAGAGACGTATCTCCAGATATTATGGTACACATTATCACTTTAACATAAGGAAAACATCATTCTGCCACTTTAGCTTTGATACAAATATAAAAATTTCTTGCTTTCTCTCCAAAATGTTATTTTGCTCTTTAAACCATTTTAGGTCCCACCTAGCCATATAATTTTGTGCATTTATACTTTTCAGCAGAAAGTGTCAACGTTGAAGTTACAGTAAACGAGGATGCGGCAACGTTGCAGACATTCTCCGAGACCAATCTCGATGATTCACCCCTTATCTATATTCGCATTAAGCCCACATATTTTCGAACAATTAGATGAAGCGAAGTTCCGTGAAGGGTACGGTTAGAAATCTCGAATTTCATGTGAAAAATATCCAGTTTCGTTTACACAATATGCGCTTGTTTGTATTTATATGCAGTCGAAACAGTCACAACATACGATCATTAAAAAAAACAAATAAGTGGAACTATAACAGTAATAAGACAAACATTGCAAGTTATTTTACATTTGTAGGGTTTGGTGTTTTATTATTTGAAAACACCCCAAATGTATTCCTTTTACAAATTTTGATATTAATAAAATTACGCAAAAATCAAGACGTAATATAATGGTTACAGGTCTTAAAAATTAGAGCAAACATGAGGCGTCTTGCAGGGATCAATTTTATGCCTCCTATTATTCAGTCAGTTTTTTTTTATTTAGTTTAGTTTTTAATTATCGATTTCTTTTTTTTGTAAAAGTTTATCGAACAACTCTCGTAATAACTGAATCATTTATGCAAAAATGAAACTAGAATGCAATATTATATCTTATCTATTTTGTTATCAATATTTATGGTTGAGGGCATTGTTCTAAATTATCAAAATAGGTACACTTATCAACAGTTTGATTATTCATTTAATTATTATTTGAGTAGGTACTTGATAACAAAAATAAATGTTGTTCCTATAATTTAAAAGCCTTTTACAATTTTCTGCTTGTTATTATACTGTAAAAGGTCTTTACAAAAACATACCACATATTCTTTAGACCAAAATAAGTCGATTTAAGTAAAATTACCTTAGTACAAGTTGCTTCGTTTGGGCTCCAGAGGGCCTTGAAGTTACAATTTTTAAATCGTTTTTCCCATATAAATTTAAAACGGCATATGCGATTTTGCAGAAATTTGGTATATTGGTAGAGTTTTATGTGGAAAAAAAAAATGGTATTAAAATTTTGTCCGATAATAATACATAGGCGTAGAACTTGATTTTTTAAATAATTGCACCTTTAAAAATTCTACGCCAATGGAAGAAAAGGAGTTTGAGTATGAAATTTAGATTGCGCCACTCATTTACTTTAAAAAAGGTACTCTTGATAAGACTTGATTACTCTCATGGTTTTGACGAAATTTGCATTTTAGTAATTTTAGAACATAAACAATAATTATTAAAATACAAACTTTGTCAAAACCATGAGAGTAAATCGAGTGTTATAAAGGGTACTTTTTTGTAGTAAATGAGTACCCAATCCAAATTTCATACTCAAACCCCTTTTCTGCCATTGGCGTAGAATTTTTAAAGGTGCAATTATTTAAAAAATCAAGTTCTACGCCTATGTATTATCATTGTATAAAGAACTAAATAGTAGTCTCACCTTATGGAAGTTTCATTGGAGCGAAATGGATACTACCAATAGATGGCGCTAGTGAATATGGATAAGTCGATATTCGTTTGCAGTGGGCGGAGTTGAGGGTCCAGCAGAATTTTTTAAGAATGACTGAGACCGATCGTTAAATTTCTATTTTTAGCTCTTGGATGAAATTTTATACACTCGTGATTGAATGTTTGGACTATTTTCTATCTAATGTTTGTGATTGTGCGTTAGTGCGTTTGCGGGTAGTAGGTATTGTGAATGAGTTGTGTTTATGTTTTATTACTGAATTATTTTACTGTTAATAAAGGAAGAGTTCCCAAAAAAAATTTGTGTAGGTATTTATAACTGTTTTGAAATTAATAAAATAGAAAATATGCTTTTGTTTTTCGTTTCCTTTACAGGTTTTATCCGAATTAATTTAAAATAAATTATATAATAATAATAATAATAATAATAATAATAATAGCAATAATAATACATTTCTTAAGTGTTGAAAAAATTGTATTTTTAATTTAAATACCTAAGTACTTAGCATAAGTAATTATAAACAACAGCTTATTTCTTTAATCTGGTGCGTAACAATGTAATAAAAAAAAACCCTTAAGATGGTTGGTAAATAATATACTTAAATGAATTCTTAATATTGAAGTAAACACAATGGGTTCTATAAGGATTATTGGTTGGGGTTCGGCTTTGGGGGATAGGGTCGAAATATTAAAACTAAACTTGGTATATGGATGTATTATCCCATAAAAATAAAAATCGCTTTAAAAAATTCACCCCTCCCCACCCCTATCTGATATGGTGAGGGTGGCATTCCCAAAAAATTAAGTTAGAACTTTTTAAATAAAAAAGTTGAAGTCTACGATTTTTTATACATAAAAACACAAAATTCCAATTTTTTTGAAAAAAAATTTCCAAATTTTTTTTGATCTTAGAAAAAATTTCGACTTTAATCTTCATAGTTCGGATGTGGGGCTGGCATTTAAAAATAGTTACAAATACATAAAAATCTAATTTTTGGCATATTTACAATATAATTGATTTGCAACATTTTTGTATAAATATCTTACCACCAAAAAAAAACAGTTAAAATCTACAATTTTTTATACATATAAACCAAAATTTCAATTTTTAAATCAAATTATTAAATTAAATTATTTTTTTAATTTCTTTATTATATTTAATATTATTTCTACTTTTTCTAACAATAATTAATTTAAGATATCTACTTTGATTGAGCCAAAATATTTAGTAGGGGAAGTTTTTAATATTATACAAACATACTGTGTGTCCAAAAAAATATATGAATTTGGCTAAACATTAACCTTTATTTCTAAAAACAGGAGAACAATGTTACTTGAAAAATGTACCTATAATTAATATTATCCACCATCAAATCCTGGACCTGGACACAATTTTTTTTTAGCAATACGGGAGAAGCGTAAGTGACATTTTTACAAATGAAATTAATTTCAACAAATTTATTTGAGATCATGTACAAGATTATTCACTATTAAAGACACCTTTTATAACCACTATTACATATTCAAAAAAAGCTTTAAATAAAAGTTTGTGAATATGACTGACTTTTTTTAAATATACCATAAAAACACGTATTCAGATTTCACGGAATACAACACAAATAAACTTTTTTAAATGGGATACCCTCTATGTTATTAAATTTCTGGGATATTTTTTTTCTAATTTCACAAATCAATAATATATGATAACCTTATCAGACGGTATCGAGTAATTTAACGTTGATAATGTAAACATGAAAAAGTTAACATTATTAAAGTAAAAGCTATGAAAATCACAACTATTATGTTTGATAATAAAATAATCCAAATAGGTAGTTTACAGTGAGAAAGAAAAAGTGTAAATATTTATAAGATATTCGACATAGATTATCTATGATATTCGACGTTTAATTAATCAGGAAAGAATAAAGATCATTTCGAAAATTGATAAAATATATATCTATGCTATCCTTATTAAAAAATATTCATGTTAAATCCTGTGAAATATGCACACCACTGATATGGTCATTTGATGACATTTTTACAAAATTCGGTCAATGTAAACATTATACAATAATAATTATAGCATAAAGGGAGGGTAATTTATAATGAATAACCCTGTTAGGTACCATAAATTTTTAGTAAAAAAATTTTAATTCGCACTTTTTTACGTAGATTAAAGAAAAATGTAATTTTGTGCGTTTTCTTGGTGCAGACATTTTGCGACACACTGTATATTCAAATCCAAAATGATGTATTTTCTTTTAACACATACCTAATACAAATTTATTAGCAAAATTTAAATACTTTTTATTTTCGGTAGGTATATTTCTCCTTTAGACACACACATTTTTAGTTTCATTGTCAAAGATTTAAATAAAATTACCTGACCTTATAATATTCTATTATAAT